ATCGGGTGAAATCTGTTTCGTTTTCATCTGTCAACCCGATATATCGAAATCTGTTTCGTTTCTTGGTCCTACATTCTATTTAAACTCGTGAAACGAAAACGCTGCGGCTTGGAAACGTTCGTGTAACTCATCGGAAATCACGGAGGAATACGTCATGCTAATCATAAGTCTTGACATCTAAAAAATTCCGTTTGGAGCAATATGCTTGAACTAGCTTTGAATATCTCAGAGCAGAGCATTTAGGGTTCCAGCTCACACACTGCTTTAGCATGCTTTATTTTAGCAGGCTGGATTCCACACCACTTTCGGATGGTTGGTTACCAAGCTTTTAAAAATATAATGGACGGATGCATATTAATATGCTGTGATAATTGATGGTTAACCAGCTCTTTTGTGCCTATTGTTCCAGTTTACCATTTTTGCCTAAAAATGGCACTGTAAGAAAAATAATAGAACATTGGCGAAAGAAAAGTGAATCAGATCAAATTAGTACAAGCAGGATTACCTTAGCTTCTGAAAATTGAAAGACATTTTCAATTCTTAATACAATATGACATTCCAAGGCTTCATACGTTACTCTACCAATATTACACAACGAAGAAACCAGTATATATAGTAATAGACGACGTAATAAATCATTCGTAAAATGCTTTTTTACATTTATGGTGTTACAGGGATGTTCGGTGCATTATCAGTCTAGTGTTGCAGCTTGACTCTTAAAAACCGCTCTTTGAACATGGCCAGCACTTGGGTGGTAAATTTGGGTAGGATTTATAAAATAAGTAGAAACCTTGTCACACGTAACCAGTGTTAATGGAGCGCAATTTATTAACATATCTGTGACATCGAGACGTCGTTGCTTTTCGCACTTTGTTTGGGCGCAATTTAACTTCTCGTACGCCAATATTTTATTGCTACGTAGTTTTGAAGGCGAAAGATGTTTGGACTTCAGTTTGTTTTTGTCAATATTCACATATTATTATTATGTATAATTAATTAATATAGTTTCGAGTTGGTTGTAGTTAAGGATTTTACTTTGACGCGTTTTTGTTCTAGATATTCCACGCGTTGCTTTTATTAATATTTTGTGTCATACTTAATTTTTTGATGTTAGAATGACATGGTGTCAGTACCAGCGAAGAAGAAGGAAACGAAAACTACCGCAAGAGATGAAGGAGGAATAACGGGATCCCGAAGATCCTAACTACGCTTGGACTTTTCTTATTAAAAATTTGTTCCTATAAAAGATATTAAGTGTTAATCACAATTGCTCTTACTCATTATTGAGATAACTCTGTTTAAATCAAACAAGCTGTAAATCTATAGTTTGGTAGCGATCATATGAACATTTAACTGCCTTAAACCAATAATTAAAAGCTGCCCGTTAGCGATTTGTGGTAGAAACTTTTCTCATTGAACGGCAAGTGATAAGATTTCGCCTTTCCAATTTGAACAGCTTTTTCTACCTTTGAGATTTCTATGAATAACCGTAACATTTTTTGGGTAACAAAGGGCACTGGATAAATGCAATGTAGCTAGCACACTATTATCTTCCTTCTTGATGTCATAAATCCTCACCACCAAGACTGGTATTTTCTACAAACGTCTTTTTTTTTTAATGAAAACCAAGAGTTATCAATGCCTAAGGGTTCTCTGCCATCAGAGCTCGGCAACCATTGATCCTAGAACAAACAACAAAACTTTGGCATTATCTTGAGTTTACTCATGGCTTTTTTGATATTATCACGCATTTTCTATTATTAGTCAAAGCAGCTTATTCCAATCGAGTTCGTTTCTGCGACACTGAGAATAGGCTGGCACAGAACGCCCATTAGAACGGTTTCTAAGGAAGCACGCAGCGCTCATATGTGGGTAATATATGCGCTTACATTGGTGTATCAGATATCTGGACTTGATTCATATAAGTATTTGATTTATGTGGTGCATTTTCGTATTTATTCCCCAAATGTAGGTAACTTATTGTTTATAATAGATATTGCAAGCGGTTTGCGCTCGATTTTAATCCGTCGATTGATGGGTGGATAAGAAAATACTTTAATCGATCACTGTCTTCTTGCTCTTTTTTCCGGATGTATTCTGTGTGATGATTAACTTTGTTTGTGCTACTCTTAACATGATCACATCAAACTCCGACTCATAGCCTTTTCTACTTTGTTGTATCAACGTCAGGGAGAACTAGCGGGTAAGATTGATCTCATTGTCAAATACAGTCCAATGACCAAAATCATGACAAAGAATCTACAAAAATTGCAAAGACATTTCGTTCCCGCTCCTGCTGGAATCGTCAAATGCTCCTTGGATCCGCTATTTTGAATACTTCCAACATTGTTGCCGTTGTTGCCGTTACCAGTTATCCTTCCGGAGCCGAGTATGCTAACTAAAAAGCATTGATCACATTTAAAGTGCATATTCATTGTTTTTATACTGTCACACAAATTTGACCATACGTTAACCATATGATTTATCGCCCCGACTATTAAGATTTGTATATGGTTGGATATTGATTCGATCATCACAATCAAATATATTCAACAATATCCCAACACTATCCATTGATATACCGTCAATTATACCATATTCGGAGTTCGCCTGCAGAATGAACCTCATGCGTAGTACAACGGCGTGAAGTTCATGAGCGAAGGAACCTTTTATAGTGCAATCTTTGGATCGCCTGTCTACATTCGAGCTTAGTTTGTAACAAACTCCCGCTAAAAAAATATAGCGAAGTTGAAGGTAGGGTCAAAAGTGGTTGTTAAACTAGGCCAGTTTCTTCGTGTCCACTAGATCCCGATCGCTTACTCTTCTAAAATCACCAACGTATATATCTGTTACCTAGCCACACAAGAAATAAATAGATAATTGTGAAGATAGTTTTGGTCAACTATGGCATATTCAGCCGACTCCGAGAGCATGCTGAGGTATCCAGAGCAAATGCAACATGACCCCATACTCACAGACTCGGACCAAAAGTTTATGACGCATTGGTTTGAGTCTCTAGAAGAGGACGAACCACCGAATGGAATGTTAGACATCAATGGACAGCCACAAACACAGCAACAAGGGCAACAGGGTCTAGCATATGCCGGTAAGTTATAGGGAAGAAGTAAACTATAGCGAGACTAGCGGATGTTAACGCTAAAATACAGGCAATTAGATAGTATCTTTCCTTCGAAAAAATCATTCGGGGAATCGTTTGCGCTATAATTACGATAGTGATATGACAAGTAATCTTTGATTCCGAGATATAGCAATCAATTCAAAATCTCATAAGGACGTCTATGTTATCAGCTACTAAAATATATTTGCCACTACTCAAAATCTACCTTGTAATTCTTTCGGCCTTCTAATTACACAGACCCTCTTCATATGACCAGACCATTTCAGCCAAACTATCAACTTGAATCTTCTCAATCTCCGTATCCCAGTTACTATAATATCCCAACATCTATCAATATCCCTAACAACAATTTCTCACCAAATCCTACTTTTCATAATGGTGGGATGATTGGAAATGCAATGTCAAATAGCTTTGTCCATAACTCGCTTAGGCAGGGTCATATTGGTGTCGGGCTGAATGGGATAAACGGAATGGGAGGAGTGAACTCGATGAATTCGATGAATACGATGAATACGATGAATTCAATGAACCCAATGAACGCCATGAGCACCATGAACGCAATGAACGCAATGAACGGGCTTTCCAATGTTAATTCACTCAACACCGTAAACACGCTGAGTTCATTATCAAAAGGAAAGCTTCCAGAAAGACAACACTTGGTTTATGTAAAGTCTGAACAAACAATTCCATCTCGTCGTCAGCGATCACCGTCGCCAAATGATGGATCAAGAGGATCGATAAAACGCAATCCATCTCGACGGAAGAGTGTGAGGGAGTCGAATGATGTCGCTGAGGATGAGCGTGCTGCGCGTGCAGGAAATAAAAACGAGACTTTGAGGCAACAGCAAGACGATGGTGAGTTCATACAACAGCAACAAGGAACATTGTTGGAGTCAAGGGAAAGGAGATCACAAAGTGGAGACGACGGCGAGAAAACAGACGGACAGCAATCACAGTCGAGTGAGTCCGAGTCTAGCGGGAAGCAACTTGGGGACGGTGATAAAAGTAACGAAGTCAGTGGTAGCAGCAATGGCAATGCGTCTGCTAGTACTAGTTTAACCTCTGCAACAACAAAACCGAATCCCATGCCAAGCAGAGGTGGGCGAAGCAAAAAAGGTCATCATGAGTTACTTACAGAGGCAGAGAAGAAGGCTAATCATATTGCATCTGAGCAGAAAAGGAGACAAAATATTAGACTTGGGTTTGATCAACTGGTGGAGATTGTGCCCACGTTAAGTCAGTGTCATCGAAGCGAAGCATTGATTTTGCAAAAGTGTGAGTATGAAGTTGGGAATGTTAGGACAATAGAAATATTGAGTGAGGGATAAAAGAAGGGTATACAGGAGAAGAAGGCGAAAGGAATTGATATCATGTGTTTTACTTTTGATGCAGCTGTTGAGTATATACAGCAGCTTCTTATACAGAAGAATGATTTGAAAGATCGAGTGAAGTCTCTTCAGCAGACACTCGGAGATACGTAAGTAAATGGGAGGTGTGATCTGCAATGTTGCTTTAATTAAACTTTGCTTTCGTATTTATTAATTTACTTATATAAATGTAGACCCGAAAGATATGATGACTCTGTAAGTATTATTGACATTACCCAGCGTATTTACACCAGATGCTGTAAATCTTTGATTTTCTTAACTTTATTCTAACTAAGTCTACCTTATTCATTCTTTGATGTCCTCTTATGCAATAATATTTCCAACTATCTATTCTGTTACTAACCTAATTATTATCATTTCATTCATTTAGTCATCTGAGGGTGAGCTGGACATAATGTTCTGAATTTATGCGCTGATAATATTTATTACCCAAACAATTATCTTATCAATATAAGCATTGTATCATCTTCACTGATTTAACACTTGTATCATATATAATATGGATAATCTAGTGGATGTCTGGTGACTCACATCATGAATATAGTAGATACAGTATGATCATAATAGATTATAGATGAATATTGTCAAAAGGGATCCAATGGAACGAAAGCATAAGTGTAAAGGTGTGTGTAATATCAATCAAATTTACATGAACAATTAATAACATCAATGACCATTAACAACTCAACATCCGATTGAGCTGAATAACTTTACCATACTTTTATCGAACATCAATTGCATTTTATACCGGTCACAAGGTTTTATTATCCCACGAGCCTTGAGGTCGCATTTGTCATGTTAAAACGAATAGACGGCAGTCGGGTGCAATCACTGCTATAACCGTGAGGATGGTACCGTATATATAGACCTATTATGAATAGGAGGAGAAGCGACAGTCAAACGTTCGGAAATCTACGAATAACGAACGTAATGAGGAAAAGGTTATAATCCCGCAAGGCTTACGGGTTCTCAACATTATCATGATACTCCCCTCTCTTTTTGGCAACAACTACTGTACTCACAACCAGATTTCATCCTGAACTATATTAACTGTCATTACGAATAAATATTAGTTTTACTCTTATATTATCGCATTGTTATAATACCCGCATGCCATTGTTATTCAATTCTCACAAGACAAGACTAAGAATGACAATTGGTAAGAGCAACTTTTATCTCCTGCTCGTATTATATCTTTGAGATCATAGTCCATTCGTTGTCAGGTGATTCTTAACATATTAAGATACGCTTTCTGGCAAAGGTATTGCAATCTCAATAATACAAAGTTGTCTATGATAAAATTTGTATGCGAATAGAAGTGTCGCAAGCCTTTCTTACTTTAATCAAGCTACCTACCATCTTATCTATTATTCGGCAAAAAGCTGTACTTAGCGGAAGACGATTTAGCCTGTCTAGGAGTATAAGATTCCATACATTATTACGCAGTGCATACATACTATCCTTGTATCCATCTTTGCAAAAGTCGTCATCGGATTTTCGCTTCCTCCTGTATCAACTCTTTTGGACGCAACCTCCAATAAAACATGTATCACAATGTGTAATGGTCCATTTCAGCAACGGCGCAGAAATGTGTCACTACTTAGTAAAATAATTTGAAGTTTTGGTTTCTTCACCTGAGATGAAAAATTGATTTGTTGATACGTGATAAAAATAGGAATCACGTCATATCTGATTCACGCATCCATGACAAGACCCTCAGCATAAAGCAATATGTCTAATTTGGATTCGCTTCAAATAGCACGCGCTGATATAAGCTTTTTGATAAATTAATATACAGATTTATTTAAAAGTTTAATTAAGACAACGGTTTATACAGCTTCCAATGTCATAAATTCAAAAGCCTTTTTGGGAAAAAGCTGAGAAATAAATATTTCTTGGAGGTTGGTGAGTAATGTCTAGAATGCTGGATTTCTTTTCCAAGGTCATAATTTTTTCCATGCTGTAATAATTAAAACAGTTCAGTGTATAAAGTAACACCTAACTATTACCATTAGAACATGATCACATAATTCAAACTTAAGAAAATCAAGATACTTTCAAACATTCACTGAACCCATAATGATGAATAGTAACTTCAGATATTTGGCTACACAACTCAGTTTTCATTTCAGGAGAAAGAGTCACTTGACCATGTAAAAAAACTGACTTCAAACTATGCCCCACATATTTTAATAATGCTTTTGCAAAGTCATCATCAAAAGCATTATTTGTAATAGATATAGACTCAATATCTACCAAACAAGAAGACAAAAAGTTAACAAACATGTCCAATGATAGCTGATAAGAGTTTTCCAACACAAGAGATTTCACTGATTTTGGCAGGTTTTGTCCAAGCAATAATAGTATTTTTGGTATTAGTTCATAATGTTTCTTAGCTCCCCGGATAGCAATAGATAGTCTCCTCAAATGCTGCCATAATGGAAGCACACTCTGAATTAATTGAATATAAACATTCAATGAAAGCTGTATTTCTAAATTAGTAAGATAAGGTGTATTTGTTGCACATATAGTCCACAGTTCTACGTTGTTCCACAATTCCGCCACATTCTGAATTCTTTTTACAGATAGTGTATCTAAGCACTCTTTCACATTTCTAAACAATGCGCCAATGCCATAGGTATTCGTTTCGAGCTCTTCTAATTTAAGCACGCGGAGATTAGAAAACATAGTAGACTGCAACTTCATTGGCGATTGCACACATAGTTCACAGCAAAACATCTCAACATGATGTAGATTGGTACAGTGACCTAGAAATTCGAGTAAATCATGTGCATCCCTATCTTGCATGTCAAAAAGTATCTTGATTTCTCTAAGAGTTTTTGCCTGAGTACACAATGCTTTCCAGACTGGTTGCAGACTCATTTCATAATTTTGCAGCTCGAGCTTGAGCCTTGCAACCTTTAAACCCCTCTGCTTGCTTATAAAATTACTAATAGCATCGCACCATACAGTCCCATCAACATACGCTGATTCCCATGTACATTCGAATTCAAACGATTCAAGATTTGTTACTGTCGCTGCTGCGCTGTGTAAAATATCGGGGTGGAATTTTTGCGAAAATTTGAGTCGCCTTAACCGATCGAGATTGCCTTTAAATAAGTTCCAGGATGTAGCAGGCCAACTGTAGGCGTCGTAACTCGGAGCACGATCAAGACCTGTCACATCTATTTCTGCTAGTAATGGGCAATTCGTTACTATTCCTTGGCATAGTCTCAAAAGTAGTAGTGGCGCTATGGTGGAAGAATGAGTGTCTTCTTTTTCTAAATAATGACTAAAATAATACTCCGTCGCATGTATACAGTCCAACACTTTGATTGTCCTAACAAAGTTTAAATAATTAAAAATTGACTGTTCGCTCTCAAGCGGTGGATGCATATCCACTATGTCTTCCAAGTCTTCAAAACACTCCTTGGGTAGGAATCGTAGAAACTTGACAAGCATTCTACAGGCTTTACGGCCGCTCCAGCGGAAAGGTGTTTGCCACAAGTACGCAATAGCACATTCACACCACATACGGTTAACAAGTGAACAAGAGTAAAGGTCATTGCTGCTTTCAGACAGCTCGGATATTATTTGCATAATACAGAGAAAGGGAACGTTCAACATATTTTTCGTTAGTTTCGTAGCAAAGCGTTGTTGGTGGCACATATAACATACTAATACTAATCCACCAAACTTCAGGGGTGGTAGCCCTGATCAGAGAACCACAATGGATTGGTTGGATTGTATAATGTATGGGTGGTTTTAAAAGTCAGTCAAAGCTGCCATGTTATAAATATCAAAATACGTCTTCTGAGTGACGTTTGTTAAATCAATATACTGTACCTGTACAAAGCATGGTAATGTTTATTGTTTGGAGCATCCGTCTATACTGCAGTACTACAATACATTTGCCTTACATACAATAAAATACTGTACGTAGTCTTTGAAACGACATAATTGTAAATTACATCAGCATTATCAACGCTATGCTGGCTTCACTGAAGCTACGAGTTGGATTCGTGCGTAGTCTTCATGGGTCTTGCACGTTTCGTAAATCGTTGTCATTACGAAATATTAACCCAGCAGACATGGCTTTCTTCTTCTTTTCTACTCGAAAAATCAGAATTTCAAGCAATCACAACATTTCATGTAAAGTTTGGTTATTATTTCTCATTATTGTGTTTTGCTAATATTCTCTTTGTATCTTTTCGCGTTGAGTAAAAATTTTTGCTAGTAACCATTCTGGTGGACTCAAAATCATTGTCTTATCGGCATATAAGAGTAAAGCATTTGTTTTGTCTTGAGATAATTCCTATAGTTTCGCGTTTGTGGCAAGTGGTATTTATAGTGAAAAAGGGGAATACGTAATCACATGAATGATATTCTGCTAGTCGTTTAGCCATTAATCTACTTGATGGTTTCTTAAATTTGGGGAGTAATTTTGTAAGCGTTTGTGTTTCATTCGCCAGTAAAAAGCGCTGTCTCAAAATTTCGGGGAAACACATCGTTTTGGATCTTGCATATAAAGAGTCTTCGGTACTATGGACTTTGTTGACAATTAATCTTACTGTATAAGCTCGAATCAGCAGAAGCAACAAATTAGGCATATTTTCTCGAACACTTTGCGAATTTCGTGTCAGACTGCAGTTCACTAAAAGTGTTAACGGCTGTGATAACAATTGAATCTGTTACGTAACTGAAATAATTACGGTTTTTATAATGAAGATTGTCTCCAAACCAATCATTGGTTATAAGGAATTTCTGGTTATTATTATAAGAAATAATTTTTTTCCAGTCCCGTAGAATTCGTTATAACCTGTAATTATTTCGCTATTATTCCATCTTTAGTGTCGATTACCAAATATTACTTACCAATGCGTATCAATGCATTGCATGAGATTAGAAACGTGACATTTTAGTGTTACGGATTAAAGAATTTTTTTGTGTTATTGTTATAGTCAAAACAGAATTATTGAATAATTGTTGTAATTGTTCCGTGAGAAACGATCGGCGTCAGGACAAAAAAATTTTTTGGGAACGTCACTTAAGCCACAAATGGTCAGGTGTTGCTTCAATCACGTGGTGGCTTTGCACTTTAATTATAATACACATCTTCCTATCTATGCGCAGTGAATTACAAGTGTACGTCAACTCTTAAAAAAGAGGATATAAACACAAATTGACGACATTTATCTATAAGCAGACAGCGACTATTACAATAGTTCAAAATGTTGTATCACACAACAATGAAAGCCCTGCATATGTGCACAGGTAAGCGAAAAGTCGACGCCACATAAACATTTCAGGGGTTAATGATAAGAAAGTCACGCAATCTGTTTGCAAGAACAATAAGTCCGATACAATCATACAGATATGCTAAGTTCAGTTACTTCTATTACAACAATATTGACAAGTTTATTAAATAATCAGGATAATGCAATTCGTAAGCACGGCGTAATGCTCCCAATGTTTGGAGATCTTTGTTACGTGGATTTATTAGACTATTGAGAATTTTTTAATAAGTATCTGCTTATTTTATAAACGTTTCTATCCCTAACAACATAAAATAAAATAATTAAACAAGTAATATCAATTTGACAAGAAATAAGTGTATGACACAATGCTCTTTACGTTTATATCGCACTATACAAAGTTGATTTCAACGCGCTTGTGTTTAATTTTTAAGTTCAACATTGCTATATATAGTTATTGGAATTTTCAATTAAAAATTCACCATTTTGGATGCATTTAAACTTTTATATTTTATATATCTCTATCAAATAATAAGTATCCTTTTTATTTCATAAAGTCATAGTTACTGTAATTGTTCACGCCCTAGTACCGCCTCGGCTCGAACGCAAAGTAAATCTAATCTGGCAGATTAGATACAAATAGTGAGCATTGACACTGGTTATTGAACTTATACCTAAATGCGAGTATTAACCAGCGGTATTTTGATGTTTCAGCAAATTTGCATTTCTATCGGAGCTTAGTTGCCGTATTATGCGGGGCAACGGCATTTTAAACATACGCTCAATATATATAATCAGGCAGGCTCTCATTCCTTTTTTTCGAGATAATCTTAAACGTACGTCAATAATTTTCCAACATGCACTCAATCTAAAAATCCATTGCAATTAGACAGCCTGCTGCAAGTTTCTATACAGGTTGGCTCAAAGATGATAATCTTTCGGACAAGGTAGAACCAAGTTCAACAATCACGATTTACCCACTTTGTTGACATCAAATTTCACGATTTTGTCTAACGTAAGGTTTCTAGTGTTATCGAACGTTATGACACGAGCAAAGAATTAGCTACATCTGCTTTGTATTTGCTTGTGCAGAAATTTAGTAATGGTTACAACGATTATTAATTCTATAGATGATGTTAATAGACTTTTAATATCAGTCAGAATAATACAGTGAGCTGGAGGACAGGCTTTCACAAGCTCACTTTAATATTTGACCGCTAAACAGTTGATGATCATTTGTTGGACACAATGCATAGTATATAAATTTCTTCTATTAGATACAGCTGTTTCAAAGACAAAGAGATCGCATCAAGGACAAGTTCACATGAAAAAAGAAAAGGACTTGGACAAATGTAAAACAAATATTTTTATGACCAATTTAGGGACTATTATGATTGTTGAACCCCAATTCGCTGTGGCGTCGTATTCACTTTAACTCAGTTTTCGTATAATTATATCGCAATTTCCCACAAGAAACTTTTTAAAGTTCTGTAGAATCAGGATAGCGGTTACACAAGAACCCCTGCAAAAAAGATTGAATGTAATAGTAAACTTTATTAAACTGCGTCGAAATTACTCTCAGCGGACACTCCGATTGGATAGTTGGAAGATCATCTTTAGCCCACTTGCAGTAACGGGCTATGTTAAATATTCCACAGTTTAAAATAAGTAATTAGCTGATATATTTTAAGTGTATGGCCAAAGATAGATCACATGGCGCTGTGAAACTACTTTCTCTACTGTTTCAAGTTTTGGACGAAGAATCGTTTTTGTACAAATTAACACGTTTGCGTTTCAGGCGTCCTAATGTTTCGATTTGATCTGCAACACGGATAGCTGTGGTGCGATAAGAAAAAGTGAATAATCGTGTTTACTAGCCAACTTGGCCCGTGGGAAGAAGAAGGCTTTTAACTTGGAATGAAAACAGTTTTAAACTATTGATTTCCCCTCCCCATTCCTTCCTCTCTCCGAAACATGTTCTACGTGTAATCAATGAGAAATCTGGTATGCGGATCGAATATCAATTCATGTCTTACCTATTGTTCTTTCAACTGTATGCTTAGATATATTTATACATTATACACAATGTTAATATGCAAGAACCCCTCCCCCATATTCCTTATCGCAGAAATCGCCTTTGTGTCAATATTATTAAAAATGCATATAGCAATAGAGCATTTCATTGATTTAATTACTCGGAAAACGAGATAAACTGTAAATCGCTAGTCATTGTTGTTCGGAACAAAGACATTTTTCAAACCTTACTATTACTATTATTATTACTACCGGTCGAATTGATCCGGTCCGGTTACATATGACAAAACACATGCGCAGAGTTGGAAACATGGGCATCCTGTGGTGGCACAAGCTAATCGCAAAATCAGGAGCTTTGTAGAAGTTTCCGCAACCCCAAAGATTGTTATTACTGTTATTGTAACATAGTTTGGTTTCATAAATTACGAGTTTCACAGACGGAATGTTTGTTGGTAGATCAGATGGGAACAATGGACGCTAAACAGACTGTCTGTATAATTATCGTTATCATCAATCTCCATTATCGCAGATTTCTTTGTTAAATATTAATACACCGGTAGATAATTGGTTGGTTTTTTATTATGTCATCTTCCGTGCATTGCGGGCAGCAAAATCTATATTAATATACACGTACATCATATGATGTCAGCGATCGTTGCCAATTATGCCTTGATTATATCGACCAATGGTTTTGGCATGATGAAGAATTTTTCACACATGATAATGTAAGTTATGAGAATGTTACTAATTTTTTATATATCTACACAAAAATTCTAGCAAGATTATAATAATATCACCAAATGTTATAAACAGAATGAAGTGGTTTCTGGATACTACGGCATGTCCGAATGTCAATGAAAAAAATAATAAAAAATAACGCGATAAAAATTAATAACTTGTTTACGGAAAGGAGAGTGTAATTTTACATGAATGAATTAATGAAAGTAAAAAGTGCGTAATTACATGCGAATTTGTAAAATTGAGAATATGGGAAGACTAAGGTATTGTAGATTTTAAACACAGTCGGTGTATTTATACAATCAAAAATAACATCTGATTGCGATCGATTCCAGCTTGCTTCTTAATTCTGCCACTCCATATACGTCTTCTAACTTGAAAGGTATTTTCGTTCATTTTAACATCCGATCTCTCATTATCCTAATGATCTTCTACCCGACCATTAAAACCCTTCCTTTTCTTAATTCCGACTCGTCTCGAACTAATTACCAACTTCTGCTCCCACACCCACACCCGCACCCATGTCAACGCCCCCACTCGCACCGATATTCTTCTTATTCTTCCCCGTTTCCAATAACCCTCCTCGATCTACCCTTCCTCCTTTTCCATTGCTAACTATAGGATGGCCCCTGACGCATCTACTCCACCAATCTCTCAACATCTTGTCTACTTCTGACCATTCTTCGCCGCTGACAATGACACCTCTTAGCTTCTTTATATCCGTTTCTATCAAAGGCTTTACCATCTCCTCTGTAATCCCATGCCATCCTATAATACTTAAATATTCCAGCTTTGAGCATTTTGCTAGGGTAACCCAAGGCGGACATGATTCAAAGTTTGTATTGAAGATGTGAAGAGTTCGCAGAGTAGATACGGGAAGTGAAGAAAAGAGGAGCGAGATGTAAGGTGGATACAGGTTGAATAGGGTTAGGGAGGAAACGGTTGAAAGAGCAGGTACGAGAGGTGAAAGCGAAGGAAGGGGCGGTTGCAGGGGCGGGAAGCAGAGTGTCAGGGTAGTCTGTTGATTTGTCGTTAAAGTTGATATACAAACGAGCCAATAAATGGTGACATTTGAAGGAATCATTCGTAAGACGATGATGATGTCGAGTTAATAATATGTAAAATAATTACTGTAACAAATATCAATAAAGATACAACGAAAATCCAAGGCACTCACCAAATTCCTACAGCGCTCTCCGATAGCCGTGAAAACTCCATTACATACGCAACAGCCACTGATTTCCAACCACTCGACACTTTTGATTAATTCTCTCATCTCTCTCGTTTTAACCACCTTTTCTATTCCTATTTTCTTTCTCTTTGCTCTTGCAGATCCCAACAAACTCATCTTCATAACCGTAAATTGTCTATCGTGCCCTTCAAACCGTTTCTTAATGATGTGCTCTAACATGCCGAACAAGTCGTGATGGGTGGTCTGCTTATCGCACCATGTTTCGATAGCGTCGTAAAAGGATTGCATGTCAAAGTGTGTCAGATAAGATACATAATTGCGTGGTTCCTCTTGCGTTAAGTAAGTATTAATAAGTTTGTACGAAATAACTGGATTCGAATATAGAATCGGAGTCGCGATCGACGACCAATGTCTAGAGACAAGCGTACAAGCGTAAAGATGTGAAAATGATGATGACGGGGAAGGAAATGGCGAGGAGGATGTCGTGGAGGAAGATGATGAATAGGTTGGAAGGAGAAACGAAAATATTATTTGGAGGGTATCATCAAGTGTGAATATGCGGTGAGGCCGTTTCGGTGTACGATTTCGGTTGCGGTTTGATCTGTGTGGTTTTTTTTTGACAAGGACGTCGAGATGATGAAGAAAAGTAACAGAGAGAAGATAAGAGAGTAAGGAAAACCAAATTTGATCGGGCGTGCGAATCGATTGGTGATTGAAAGAAGGGGTTTGCAAATATGAATAGGATCGCAATTGGATCGCAATAATTGTTCGGAATGAAAATGGGAGGAAGAAAAAGGTTGTTAATGTTAGTAATCTGTTCTTTTGTATATGGCCAAGCCGTTCTTGCAAACCTTTCCTAACAGTCCGCCAAGTAAACACTGAGATCTTTTTTACCTTTTAAACGCTCTGGAAAGTTTTTTCAGCATAACTTTATACTTTTTCGACTTTTGTGATTGCTTCAAGATGTGTAGATTCATTACTCAATCATTCGATAAAGGGAATATCACTTTTGTTCTGTACCCCTTGTTTTTGATTCCGTCTCGTCGGCTAATGTCGGTGAGGGATGAGAGGTTGAGAAGTAGGGGTTTTTATAGAGTAGAAACTATCGTTTGAAGGGTATTTATACAATTATTGGGAAAACGAGAATAGACGTTGAGTGGTTTGTACAAGTTGGATAAGTTGTATGAAAGGAGAAAACGTGTACGCAATAACGTATGATAATGTGAAATGTAAGTTGTGTGTGTTATGATTTCATTTGGATTAATAACAATCAAAAAGTAACAAGAAATGTATGAAAGGCAAAAGGCAAATGAATTATAAAATATATTGTCTATATTATATATTGTCCCTTACACATCAAACGTGTGTATGATGATTGATAATAACTTTCGACCTGCTTGGCTAATATATTTCAATTCCCAACATGGGATTTATCTCTTCTTTATTCTATTTCTTCGTTATGTCGAATGCGTTGTTGTTTGCAAAAGCACTTGCGTATAGCAAATCGAATGTGTCAATAAACCGAAAATACTATCGTTGTTTGTTTGGGTATTTTGAGCCAGCTATTTATAGATGATATCTTGTGTGACGTACGAGGGTACAATTCTCATTTTCTTTTAGGGATGAATATTTTTAATATGTTGTACGATGTAAATTTTTGAGCTTTCGTAATATATACACAATAAATATAAATGCTGATCTGAACATTGTCCACGGCCATGCAGTCGAGTCTTTATTTCATCTGTGTGACAAATAAAGTTACATGCTCGTAGGACTATACGCTTCCCACTAACATTAAGGGGATGAGGGCAAACTTTACGTGCGACTTCAGTTGTCTCCAACCTGGAAAAAAGAATCTCTTTAAGGAATTGTTCGACTGTAAAAATCTACGATCGTATACAATAAAATAACAATATAATCTTGAATACTAATGCACATTATATAATACACAATATAAATATGTGGGGTACATCAATATGGCGCCACAGTAAATTTCAGGGGTAAAATGTTGGGCACAACAAAATGTCGTCATACACCCCATATCTTAATATTATATTATCTTAGATAGTGGTGTTTCGTTATTGCAAATCTTGGACGTTGTATACTATTTTGCAATAGAGACGATGATAATAATACTATACAGAAGAATATCCTAGTAAAATTTTGTAAAAAAGCAAAGCCAGTCTATTGACATGGTGTTAGTATAGTATAAATTACAACTTATGTTAACTTTTTTATATTATCAGCAGTTGCTTCCAATGCATTATTTAAAAGCACGCCGGCCTGCATTTATATAATCTAGTGATTGCTATTAGAATACAACGTGTATCTCTTAATTTTAAATTTTCAAAGAATTAGGCCTCCAACTATTTACTCTATCACAAAAAGTGACTTTAAACCGTATTGTTCGTTCATCCATGCGTTTGTTCGTTCATTTATTCATTTGTAGCTTTGGTAATAGTATTATTGATAAAAACAAATATTAATTGTAATATGCTCATTTTACAGAAATGCATTAGCAAAACTATAATTTATTTATCGGTCGGATATGCCCGATCGCGAGGTTCTGAATGTCAGACCGATACAAGACTGCGCTTTTTCACTATCTCCTTTTCCGCTTTTTTTTTCATTTTTCTGCCAAGATTTGGCTTGTTTAATTAATATTGGGCAGTTTCTTGAACGTTCAATTTAACACCAACACACGAGGTGTTTGTGTTTTTCGATATTGGTGGCGTTTATTTGTCTATTATCGATGAACAATACTGTAATAGTCAAAAGCTTTAGACAAAAATAATGGCCGAGTCTAACTGACAGATTAACCGTTTCGCTAGTATACGTTTGTTAAACACTATGATCAAATAATACGAATCTTGTGCCGAGTCGAACAGCTTTAACCCGGAATTTACATTCACTAAATCTGTAAAAAAACCAAACAAAACTGCGTTGCCCACAATAACCAATAGTAAAATTGACGCTTTTTTGCAGTTTTGTTGTTGTGGCTGAACGATTTGGACCCCTGAAATCTTGCGTACAAAGGGGTTGCAATGTGATACACAGAGTGCGGGTAATTTTCTCCATATAATTTACATACTAATACCCCAGAGATATACGGAACATTGTATCAACAACCATGTGCAATTTTACTTGCACAAGTGATCGATTTGATATTTTCCATCAGATATTAAAATGAAATGCAAAGACTTTGGATTTCTTAAACAAGAGTACTAAATAATTGTCAATGAATTAAACATTGCGCAACACATATAATAAAATATTGCAATGGCTTTCAGACAGTGGCTGCACAACAGTTTATAGTAGCGGTTGGAGGATTAAACTACTTGTCTACTATTTGAAGAATAGCGATGGCATCCTCGAGCTGTAAAGCATATCAAACTTCTAATACGGCGTGGAAAACTAGTATTTGTTGCGTGTGACTTCTCAAGCATTAAATGACAGAAGCTCTGATATATTTAACAAGTGAGTTAATTTAAACATGAATTGCATTTAGTTTTCTGTATGTCTGGCTTATCCATTTAGAACAATGATATCGTCAAATACACTGCATTAGATGTTTACGATAAAGTTAAGCAATATACATTCTACACTGCCCTCGCAAAAGTATTTGGTCAAAAATTTCAAGATTGAACATATTAACTGGGCAAAAAAATTTTAATGGTTTCGACGATTATGAATACAGTCAACCCTCTTTATAGTCACCCCCTCTATAAGCACATCATATAAAAACCTCTTTATAAGCACACCATTTTTGAGAACCAATTACTATTGAACTTATAGGAAAACCCCTCTATATAGTCACAACCTCTTTATAAGCACATTTCAACAAAAGTTGCATTGTTCCCGACTGTGTGACTATAGAGAGAGTTGACTGTATATTTTATATTTGTGCTACGATGTCTAGATAAATTTTGATAAACAAAAGCGTAAACGTAACTCAACACGAAACAGTAAACATTCAACATGGGAAAAGATTGTGAATTAAATGAGTCTAAACGTGGACAAATTATTGGTTTACAAATGGCTGGAAAGTTATAGCTCGTGTTCTAAAAGTTTCATAAAGCACTGTTACATATACAATTGCCCGACATAAGATCTTCATGAACTTGGAGAAAAATTCCATCTGAAACTTATACTAAACTTACCAAAAGCATGCCACATAGAATCGAAGCATGCATTAGGAATCAAGGATGGCCTACAGAGTATTAAATTTTATGTCTGTGTTAAAAAATTTAAATAAATAAAATACTTGTTTTGTTGACCAAATACTTTTGCGAGGGTAGTGTATCTAACATATATACAGTAACGTTCATTAAATATGTATGCTATATTGTGCCATTGACAAAAGCTGAACGTGCAATTCATCTAATTTTGCTTGCATCGTATTTGTTTAATGAAAACTCATTTGATTTTGTTACCTGAATTTGACAACAGTGGCCATACGCTGATTACGTATAACTTTTCAACGTTTATGAAAATGAAAAGGACGAACAATAAACTGGGCTGCTTACTGAGCTAACAAGAAGGCTAGTCAGCCAAAATTAACCATAGCAGAAACTACTGGTTATAACGTCGCGCTTTACTATATAGCTTGAGACACAAATCGCCTCACTATAAGTTGAGTACAGTAATATTAATAGGTGAAGACAATGTACGTAGACCCGACATTTGTTTTTGCAGTATAGACTAGCCAAATTATTTAACTAAGAATGTTCAAAGCATCGCGCATTGTGTGTCAGAGATATCCACCGTAGTGAATCACAAATCGTTCAAATTGCCCACAAAGGGGGCGATGTACAACATCGTGTCAAGATAATCGTTGAACACCGTTGTAGCATTCCATTGTTTTCTCAACAGTCCAATTTCAACTACAGTGTTTGGCGTTTTTGTGTATACGAAAATGAACAATGGATGCTAACTCAAATACCTGTAAAATTTTGCTCGGACAATGGCGCAAATCACATGACCATATTAGTAAGACTGCATAATGGAAGTTTTATGTTACCATTATCAAACATTTCCCCTTCCGGTTTTAGGTTTTTTCGTTTGTTGGCGTAAAGTGGAATATTGTTTGATCACCTTCCTTCAAAGGGTTTAAGACAGGCATTATACTATCATCTTACCAGTAAACCAGAGTTAATATAGTAAGCAATCCTTTTGTTTAGGAGCTTATTTCTATTCAAATCAATGACGTTTGTAATCTTGTACAATTTTCTCACTTATTACTAAATATACATTGTCAAATCTACATTTTAAGCCAAATGTTCATCAGAGCGCGGTCAATTTGGAAACCATTGAGGGAAGGGTAACGCGGTTGAACAAAAAAAGCTCAACCAGAAAGGGGCGTGAGTGAGAATTACAACGAGTATCGGGCATTGATGGAGTAATAATAATACCTAATGAGTAATATAGCATAAACTATTGTATAACAAAATATGACTAATAATGGTACCATAACAACATGACTTCTCTAATGGCTGTAACCCAACAAGTAATCCCTTTCCCTATTGTCCTACATATCATAACCCCAGCCATATAACATACACCCGCCAATCTAAAAGAACCCAAGTATATACTTTTTTTTTTCTACCAAAATGTTCACAAAATGTCTATTGTAAAACGGTATCGTCATCGAACTTCTGCTAATGTTTCCGAATTGAGCAAATGTTATGCGCTTGATGCGATATATTAATGTCTGTTGTGGTATGAGTTATAAATGCGTTATGGAAAATATACACGAGATCGGTCTTCGAAGAATCGTTCTAATCTGCTTGCACACTTGATTTGCCACGAGTGAGAAAAGTGTAGATCTTGTTAATTGAATGCATGATAAAGTCTGAAATTGCAAATCAGAATCATATACACCATAAAGATATGAAATAACGATATGCCCTTCCCTTATCGCTATAATAAGGAAGTTGCATTAAACTTATACATTCTATTCTCGGTCTAGACATACCTTAACATAAGAAGTCCCCTCTGCGTTGTACACTCTACAATTGGCGAATATTCTCCGCACATCATCTTCAAAGTCCTCGATTGTTTTGTAACTGTTTGCTTTTATCTTGCGATCAATAGTGGACAAGTCTATTAAGAGATGATAATGATTGATATGGCATGGATTGACAACAGCAAAGAACGCGAGCATCATCATGTTAGTCTAATATTGATCGTATACCAACATTTCAATCCATAAATCCGTACTCACCCATAGGGTTCGTAATGACAGTATAATAGTCAGGCACCTCTTCTGGATCTACTGGCTTTTGAAACGGCCACGATGAGTTATGTTTTTTGAGATCATTTATCAAAGAAACCATTCCCGCGTAATGACTCGGGCGTTTGCCCGCTCTTGCGCTTTTGTATAGACATAAGCATGAGCACAATAATAAATTTACAAGAAAAAAAAAGAAAAGAAAAGAAAAGAAAAGAAAAGAAAAGAAAAGAAAAGAAAAGAAAAGAAAAGAAAAGAAAAGAAAAGAA